AGAGAGAGAGAGAGAGAGAGAGAGAGAGAGAGATTAGGCGAGTATTGGACTATTGAGATGAGACTAGTTTTCACATATTGTGCTATAATCTGCTTAACGGCTTATCAATTCAATAACACATTCGTAACGCGTGTTCATATGAAGTGCTATATTCATAAAATAGTCATTCATTGGCAGCGATATGTGATTTGGATTGAAATGTAATGAATTCAATAAATTGTAAATAAGAGTGAATACTTGTGATCCTATGTAACGGACAACACTTACAACACCACATGAGAGCGAGTAAATATCAATACTACCAAACCTACCAATCCATTCAATCTACATATAATGGCTTTAATGTCGACTCTTTATAATACGGTTCACTAGTTTTTCATAAATAGATGTGAAAAAATTGTTGAAAAACATTTTCAAATATTTAAGACTAGTGTTAAAATCGATGATTATTGTTTTAGAGTATACTGTACATCATAATGTAAATATTACTGCAATATTGTATGTTAATAATTCTATTAATTTTTAAATATTGATATATCTATTTGTATAAATTAGATATTGTGTTAATTCTATTATAGTTGATATAAGTATTTAATTCTCTCACAATTCTTTCAGTTAAAAGAAAGTTATTTTTAAATTGAAAAATGTAAATTTTACAGTGCAATAATATCACTATCCGAGTTGAGCATGTTTAAATTCCATATCAGACAACTGAGCAATAACTTTAAATGATGACAATCTTGTTACTTTAAAAGTTGTTAAATTGTGTGCTCAATTGGCAGTGAAAATGCAAAGATTATTTACTGACTCTTGCTACTTTTAGAAATGAGATATTTTTCATGGATTCAAAACTAAAATTTATCATATTAATGAAATAGTTGCCAAAATATGGTACATAATCTGAATGTATTATAATGTACTAAAATAGTGTACAGATAAACATCTAGGACCTAGATTCTAGGTTCTGTTTTTGCAGTAACTTGTACATTAATAAAAAATGTTGTATAGAATGTATTGGTTGTGTCCAACTGTAGAGGTTTTAGGGGTCGACGAGAGGATGCAAATGATTAATTGATTGAATTTCAAACGCTGACAAACCAACTAATAGTGGATTGTATTGAATCCCAAAACTTATTTACTTGTATTGCAAACTCTGAAAGCATCTAAATTTACAAACACTAACTCATAACACAATGAATTGGAATGGAGGCACACCCTCTCTGACCATTTCATCCCAATAATGGGCTATGACTGCCATCAATGCCATCCATGCAATGCCTCTTTTGAAATATGAAAACCCCATTCATGACCGGTTCTACTCTACACTACTCTTCAGTCTGTGTGTTAGCTTCTCTCTCTCTCTCTCTCTCTCTCTCTCGCTCTCACACACACATGCATTGCATCCTCTTTGCGCGTTGAGGACTCTTATCTCCCCTCACTTTCTTAGTTCTTTATTTTTACAACTGTATGACTGCTAAGACTGTAATAGAAGTGAGAAACACATGCATTGAGTTTTTGCAACTGAAAGCAGTTGCAGGTGTGAAACGAACTTGTATTTAAGGTTAGGGGTCATCAAAGCAATGAGCCTAAGACTAAGACACAGACATTTAAAACGCTTTATAACATCTTTCAAATAAAGCTAGTATTTCATGCATACATGCATTTACAACACATAATAATTATGTATTGGCGTAACAATAAAACCATTGAGTCATATATAGATATATTGATAGCAATAAATTCTGTCCTATAAATTGTGTCAAATATTTGCTTAACATATGTATTGAAATTACAATTATTGTTAACCATTGCAGGGGAGAAGCCATTCAAATGCGAGTACGAAGGCTGTGATAGAAGATTTGCCAACAGTTCCGACCGCAAGAAGCACTCACACGTCCACACGAGTGATAAGCCGTACAACTGTAAGATCAGGGGCTGTGACAAGAGTTACACACATCCGAGTTCACTGCGAAAACATATGAAAGTTCACGGCAAGTCTCCGCCACCGCCGGGCGCTCCCGGCTCTGCCAGTTCTGGTACCGGTTCTGGTTATGAAAGTGACGGAACAAACAATACTCATAACAACAACACTAGTAATACTCCAAACCCAGCAATTCATTCACACTCTCACAGCCACTCATTCGGTGGCAACGCTAACAATGCAAACGCAAGCAATACAATCGGTGGCAATACTAACCATATGAATGGTATGAACGGCTCCAACAACGGCTCCACTGTTCTCTCGCCCATCACTTCCAACAACACTGTCCTATCGACTGGTCATCACCCGACAAACCTCAGTGAATGGTATGTCTGCCAATCAACGGCTGGTATGCCTACACCACCCAGTAATGAACACTCACCGGTAGGACATCCAGGGGTCCCACTTCACCACCACCACCATCATCACCATCATCCACATCCTCATCTCCATGCGGCCACTTCTTACTGACATTTATAAACTATAAACACTCATTCATTTAAACATTAATTATTCATCAATTGTTGATATCATTCATCAATTAATACTTCACTTCAAATACATTATTGTTAATGAATTTCATTACAAAGAGGTAGGCCTTAGAACCTAACCATTCATTCATTAATTTAAGTTATTTAAATATATTGTCTCTTAAAAATCAATTATGTATTCAATTAAAGAGAAATTTCGTAAATAAGTTATTATTTTTCATTATGTTATTTGATGTGATAAAAGAAATACATAATCATTTTATTAATAGTATTATAAATTCAGATTCTTATCGATAAGACAACATAAATGTGTATAAAGTGTACCGTAAATGCAGTGAATATACTGTATGTCTCAAAGCAAAGCATATCTCTTGTCATACACTTATCGAATGCATGCCTTAATTCAGTTGAAATAATTTGTTGTCAAAATCAGAGTTATTCTGCTTTTTGTATATATTATATATAAATATCTCAAATAAAATATTATACAATAAATTGTGCATTCAATTAATTCAATTGATATATTTAATATCAATATACATTTTATAACTACATACGGTATCATTGACATTTTGCTAGTAAAATAATGTAAATACGCTCTATTACATTTAACATTTGACTGATGCGAGCAATTGGTTGAGGTACAATTCAAAATGCTGGCTCAGTTTATCGTTATATTTATATAGTTGTGAATTGAGTTATGATTTAATTGAAAGTCTAATGTAGTGTTTGTATGGAAAAGATGTTGGATTTGAGGAAATATTTGTCGATTTGAGTGATATTTGTTTGAAAAGAGTGAGTACTTAAGAGCCCAAAACCGGATGAAAAGATATAAACTAATGAAAGCAGGAGAATAACGATCTGTGAATAATTTGTGTGATTCTCTACACATGAGATCTATCAAGAGATTTAATTATAGCTCTAATAATAACTAACCATTTATTTAAATAGAGTGAGAAAACATGCGATTGTTGATCAATACCTGCCCCACATATGCCCACCAAATGCCTCCACACTATAAATATAGTAATCATGTTTTGCTACAACTGCTACTGTACTACATGTTGTAAACTCATAATTATAATTTCCACATATATTTATTTGAGTTAAATTGTAGACTAAAGACTTAAGTGAAGTTTACATAATATGCTTAAAGTAATTCACAAGTTGTGGTAAAAACAACAATTATTTTTACTCATTTGATTTAATATTTATTATTCATAGATGTTCTGATAATTTAATATTTATTTAGAAACTCATTATTTAGATTTAGTTAGATTTATACGATCGCTGATTGACACCCAGTTTGTTAAGTGAAACATATATTAGAAAACAAACAAATTATTGCCTCCAATGTTAACAGTTATCACTGATTCTTCTGATTCTCATTTTCCTCGCATTTAATGAATAATAAATGAATTCAGTGTTTAGGACCATATGCTATAACATAACACTTCAATCCTGTCATTTAATGTACACTACATAGCAATAGTATTACTGTAGTGTCTGTAGTGTATAATTTACTTTTCATATAATGATAGGCCCTTTCGGGTATTTTCAAATTATATCGTGAATCAATTTAAACCTATGTTTCACAAATATAGACATTTAAACTGTTTTTTGAATGAATTAATTTTCAATTACAACCAACTTTTAAAGTATTATTGCAATTTATTATTACAAATATCAAGAATTAATATTACAAACAATCAAATCATATTAATAATTAATAGTAAACGTATTAAATAGTGATTTTGAGAATTGAATTTTAAATAAACATCTAATCGTTTAATTATCAATTGATATGGTAGTTGGCATAAGTGGTGCGCCCCCAGAGGTGCCCCCAATGGTGTGGTGACCATTGGCTGATGTTTTGGTTTATATAGATTGATATGGAAGTGAATAGATGTGAGGAGTGCTCCGTATGCTGTCTTTGTGTCGTATTATAGTCCTGTTTGAACGGCAGCTGCTTTTACCCCAATCTCCGTGTATATCGTTTTTCTCTCACTTTTCTTCATTATAAACTCAAATCAGTGACTAAACGTCAATGACTTACAAACAGATATAGTATTTCTAAATTACAGATCAAATATATAAATATTCTTTGCATTCAAATATTATGCCTTAAATTTTTTGACTTCAAATAAATTTAAATACAAAATAAGTATATTTTTTTGTAAAGTTTTAAATTTCTGACAAATTCGTGAGTTTTGAGTTTTGACTTCTCAGCGGTCTATCCATATATGAGGCGTTCCGTCCATCGCATCGATGGCTCGCATTTGAAAATAAATAAAATTATAAATTCGTTATTTATTTGTAAGGAAAACAGTCGTTCATTAGTTATGTTTGGACTCGGATTTCAATAATACCTATTCGTAAAGTGACTATTGAGTAAAATGACTATTTCTATCGTTTTGTTGTTTGTCTTATCGTGTGTCCGATCGGACATCACTTCTACACAATTGATAATAACAGCGGAGAATATATTTACCGGAGTTTCAGAGCATTTGTATAGAAGAGAGGGCTTAAGTAGCGCTATAATAGCATTCATATCAGTTTGTATGTGATGTTCATCTCTCCCGAAGAGGTGTATCTGACGGTCAAATATCTTATCTGCGAAAGGGATCTACTTTTTAGACTTTAAGTTAACGAATCTCTCGGTTCTAAACACTAATTCCAATACATTGGGACACGACTTGACTCGCATTTCAAATACACGAGTAGTGGATAAGTCACAAAATCACGACAAACTAAATGTCACTTCCATTATAACCTCTCCCCTCATATTTATATTATTATTGATCACTACTTCTTCCCATTCTATATAAATATTAATCACTTAACCATATAATTAAATTGCATTAACGTTTGCATAGTTTACAACAATTTTGAAGTTTAAAATTTTAATATATTTTTATTCACATCAAATTCATATTTCAAATAATGTATTATTAGAGCTGTATTTCACTCGAGAATCAAATATTTGAAAAGCGCTTTTGAATTGAGAGAAAATCAACAGTTTTTAAGTTGAATACGAAAATACATAATCGAAGTGAGTATTGGGTTCTAAAGTAGGACAAACATCAGTGCAATTCAATAATTCAATGCTCACTACAATATTAACAATACTTTAAATTTATGTTTGCATATATTGTACAGCGTTATAGTGTATTGTATTAGTACAGTATACATTATGTGTGTTTATGGTGTTATATTCTAATAACACTTGAAATACATAAAATCAATTATATAATGATATAAATTATATAATATTAATTTTATTATTTTAAATTTCTAACAATTACAGCAATTAAATTTTATGTTATTTAGTTATTGGACATTCAAGTTAACCATTGTTTTACATAAAGCATTTGTAATAAAAGACCTTTTGATTTCATTACAAATATTTTATTCGCAAATTATTTAACGGATTTTTTATTATTAACCTTTCTCGATATATTTTTAAGTAAATTTGTGTAAATTTTATTAATGCAGTATTTTATAAAAATATGGATCAAAAAGTGAGTGAATGAATGGGAGAGAGAGAGAGAGAGAGAGAAAGGTAGTTTATTTAGGAGACAAGGGTCGAGAAAAGCTGTTTTTGACATCAATGCTGAAGCGGTGGTCGCTTTGTAGGTCTTTCAGTGACTCTCTTTCATAGTTTGCCTGTTTTTTCAACGTTTTTCTGTTGGACTCATTGAATGCTTACATTGAATGTTAGTCACAATATTGTGCGGCAATTTCATGAACGACACAATTGTGATCACAACCAGAATTATTCAAATCACTCAATGCAGGGACGAGTAGATTAAAGCCCATTCCATGCATTCATTCAGACTCCTTGTTATTCCCTATTTTATAACAGTTATACACAGCGTCTGACAGAATACTTTAGTTTCTATTAATCGCTACACAACTACCAAACAGACTATACAATACTGTAGTACAACGCGGTGCAATACTATTGATTTTCATGTGGTGTAACTTAAATAATTTTAAAAAATATAATTATTGGGTCTAGATCACTTATTTATATATTGATTTAAAGCTTGATAAAGCACCTTTAAAAATACATATGTCATGATTTGCTACAAGCTTAATTAATAACTATTATTGTTAATTTTAATCAATTTTAGAATATAAACAATTAAAAATTCAATCAAGGTCTAAATTGGTCAATATATTACCAATAATGTTTTTTATGCCTTGAAAAACATCATAGAATTAAACAATGGGTTCTCGTTAACAATTATCCATCAAATAAATTAAAGTTAGACAACAAAAATTGGGTTTAATTAAGAAAACAGATCATAAGAAATTAAAAAACTTAATGTTAAACTTAATATGCTATGACGCTATAACATGTAAAGCTCTGACCTTATGTTTTAAAATGACCACACGCCTTGTTTGAAATAACTTAGCGGCGGATTAACATCATATTAAACGTAGATTATTTGTTTAACTCAAAATATAGATATAATGACATAAGTGTTCAAAATTTTAGCTCTAAATATTATCTAGATTAAAAGTAATCATAGTTTTACAGAAATCAATAGTATTGCACCGCGTTGTATAGGATAGGTTTCAAGTTTCACCAAATTTTCATATCAATCGAGTTTTACACAAATTCACATGTCTTTCAAACTAAATTCAATTAGTAATAAAAGTCGTGTCTCTTCTTACTATTATGTTAACCATAGGAATGCAAAGTAATATTTAAGACAAGGATTTCCGTTGTGAATAAAGAGCATAAAGAAAACAAATGGACAAAACCATACCAATTGTCACATCGCATCCCATTCTTGTTTATATTGATTTTATTGATACTCTTGGGCTCACTTTACAGCAAATTACTCTCCAAATGATATTTATCTAAACTGGTGTTCAATTAAATACAAGAGCTTGAGGCCAATGAAGAGTCAGGCTATAGCTTGTAATGCATAGTAAAATATTCTGCATATTCTCGTTTCAATCGACTTT